CTAACTAGTTGATCGCTAAAGATCAACCGTCTAACTAGTTGATCGCTAAAGATCAACCGTCTAACTAGCAGGTTTGTGGGAGGAATCGGTTCCAAACTGCTGAATCTTCGCAGATCTTCAGATGTTTCTCCTGTTTTCTGTTTAACTTCTTCCATCCAAGTCGTTTAATGTGGACGATCTTCAGCAGACCTGTTTCCCTGCAGCTTGTGGAGATGCTCCTCTAAACACCAAGGCAGAGGCCAGGATCGTTGGAGGTCAGGATGCTTCTCCAGGAGCCTGGCCATGGATGGTCAGTCTGCACAAACTCAGACATTTCTGTGGAGGATCTCTGATCAACGACCAGTGGGTCCTGACTGCTGCTCAGTGTTTCTCCAGGTGAGCTCACAGGTCCGGCCCGACTGGGCCATCAGGTGAGGTGTTGTGGCGCTGTCAGAACGGAACCATCTAGATTGAGGAGAATGTTCTCCAGTCCTCCAGGGTCTCAACACCTGCCGCAGATGCCTGCTGACCAGTAGGAAGCATCTGAAGCTGCAGGCTGTGGACCTGGAGGGTCGGTGATCTATGATCTCCATGATCAGGTTCTACTGCTGGTGGGTCCAATTCCACAGCTGTGTTGGACCAGGACAGAGGAGAAACCTCAAAGGTTTGTGAGGAAACAGAAACCATCTGGATGGTTCTGATCCAGGTGATGCTAGGCTGGTCCAACATGGTTCCGTTCCTTCAGTTCCACAAACCTCCAGCCTCCCTGGTGGCTGTCAGCCCTACCAGGAACAGAGAAACAAATGGGAACAAGAACCACCCTGAAAGATGGAAGTCCTGGTTCTGATATAATACCAGAGCCTCTGTGTGGGTGTGATGTCATCATGATGTCATGTGGCCTCCTCAGCACCAACCCTTCAGAGGTGACCGTTTACATCGGACGGCACGCACAGGAGGAGCCAAACAGTCAGGAGGAGGTCCGCTCAGCGCTGCTGGTCATCAAGCATCCAAGCTACAATGAGAGGACCAAAGATGGAGACCTGGCGCTGCTGAAGCTGTCGTCTCCAGTGACCTTCAGCGACTTCATCAGGCCGGTCTGCCTGGCTGGACAGGAAAGCTTCTTCCCAGATGGTCTGGAAGTCTGGGCCACTGGATGGGGAAGGATTCTGTCTGACGGTAAGATCTCTGGAAAACCCCTCATCATCATCATCATCATCATCCATCCATCATCCGAACTAATTGGCCTTATCTGACCCTCATGTTTTTTGCCCTTATAAGTTGATATAGTTTAATCATCGGTATAATTTTCATTCCCTTCTCCATTTTGCTTATTCTATCAAAAATAAGCTGGATTCCACATCCACGCACACACTGATGGTGGTGAGCTACATTATAGCCAAAGCTGCTCTGGGGTTCACTGATAGAAGCCAGGCTGCCGTACACTGGCGCCTGAAGTAGTCTCCGTGCGTTTGGAA